AACCCCCCCATACCTCCCATCCCGCCCATTCCCCCCATCCCGGGGAAGCCTGCACCGCTGGAGGCGTATTTCGACGTGAGCTTGCTGATGATGGCGGCTATCTTGGGGTTGCTCTGGTACTTCAGCATGTTGGCGGGGTTCGTCGAAATGTCCTTAAAAGCAGCCGCGACCTCCGGGTCCTTCGATCATGAGAAATGATGGTCAGTTTCCTCGCAGTCCATGGGCCATATCGGATGGGGTGCGAATGTCTTACCTTGAACGCGTCCATGATCTCGGGGTCGTTGAAGAGCTTGTAGAAGTCGTCCATTCCGGGCATCCCACCGACGTCGTCGTCGTCATCGGGGACGGGCTGCTGCTGCTGCGCCTCCTGGCGCGCCTTCTCCTGCGCCTCCCGCACCCGCTTAGCGCGCTCCTGACGCTCTCGAAGCTCCTTGTCCGCCTTCTTGCGCTCCTGCTTGCGGCGGTGCTCCTCCAGCTTGCGCGCCTGTGGGGAAAATAAGAAAAATGCACTCCATTCAAGACCTGACGTGACAGGCTGTGATCAGAATGAATTATGGCGTCAGCCAAAGCAGGAGAATCGTCAGCAGTGACGAGTGTCAGTGTCAGTGTCACCCTTCCGTACGTGGTAAGGTCCTTAGGTCAGAGTTGATTCCAGATGAATAAGAGGGTCGAGGGTCATTGACCGCGGCACCGTGCGCTATAGCGTGCCCGCCACAGGGTCGGACCTGAGATTCGCATGAGATTGCCTGAATATTGCCTGGCCCCGCCGGCCTGCCCTAGTCCACAGAGCTTGACTTGGGCGAGATATAAATACGACGCCGGCCGGGGCGGTCAGGGAAGGGCCGGGCCGGGCCGGGCCAGGCCTCGGCGCGGCTGGGGACCCAACACAGCTGACTGCTCGAGCTGGGCGTGGCGTGGCGGCCAGCTCGGCGTTGTGACGGCACCCGCCCAGACCCGACCCGAGACTCTCCAACCCCTCAAACCATAACGCCAGGTCAACAGAGAGCAGAACTCCAGCAGAACAAATCTGGACCGTTAAGACCAGCAACATAAATCCAAAAGATTGAGCGGGGCGAGTAGTTATTTGGATTCGAGCTGCTGAGTGCTGACCCGCATACCCCACTCCAGACATTTCGCGGGTCCTTTCATCAGCGCCGACAGCAGCGGCGCGGGGGCACGGGTGCCCGTTTGAAGACGCCGGGGAATGGTTTCAAAATCGCCACGTCAAACGGACCGCCTAGAGATGAAGTGGAGGGGCCGGTCCGCGCCCATCGCCCCGCCCGCCTCCCCA